CACATGGTTCTATCCAGTTGCTAATAATCCTATGAACATTGGTTCTGAGCATCCTGACAGCCAATGAAAAAAAGAATGCAATTGGTTTTGCAAGTTTCCACGGTCTACACGGAAAAAAGAAATTAGATGCACAAAGACATAGCTGAGGCAAGAATTAAGAACAGAGAAGTACTCTCAGGCCCTCCCATCAGATATCATAGCTCTAATTTCCCAGAAATCGGTCCATTGATCCCTTCCTTCCTCTGCCCTCTTCCCGGGGCCCCAGAATTATTTTGACAGTATTTTTTGTATCACCACTAGGTGGCAGTGCGGCGCAAGCCTCCGGAGGTTATTTTAGAATGGGAGACAACCTTTGCCCTCGAGCGGCCTAGTGGTGGGAGGGGCCATGATGGGCCCGGGGAACCTCAGTGAGTCGGTGCCAAGTTTTTGATTGAACCTCAACAAGGAGATCCTGTCTCATGCTGGGCATGAAGCTAGAAGGAAGAACCCTGGGCAGAGATTCAGGAGTCCTGGGATCTCTGTGCCAACTTGAGCACATCAATTTGCCTCTGTGGGCCTCAGCCTTCTCATGTGAGCAAGGGGTGAATATGCCCTTTGGAGGAAGAGGAAGCTGAGACAGGGATGGAGAATGACCATGGTCACTAACACCAAGGACAGTCAGAGGGCAAAGGACCAGGAGCTTCTGAGCTGTGGCAGAGAAGATAAAAGGAGGCCCACCTTCTTGGAAAGAAAGGCCACCAGGGTCCCTAGTTGGGGACAGGAGGGGAAGTGGTAAGCTTTTTGTTTCCTTGGTGGGTTTAGGGGAGTAAGAGTAGGCACTTTCTAAAATATAAATGACAGAAACTTATCTTAAAATGTCTTAAGCCAAAAAGAAAAAGCGGGGAGAGGGTGGTGTTGGTCCATGTGCTAAAAAGCACGCGGGTGTCTACACGTCAGGGTGGCTAGGCTCATTCTCCCGGGAGCGGGCCCCGCCTCCCCCTGCCCTGCCTTTGTTTCCAGGCTGCCTTCGGTGGCGAGTTCCAAGCTTCCACCCTCTCGCCCCACAAGCCAGGCTCCTGGAGAGCTTCTTTTTCCAGACAGTTCCAACCAAAATTCCAGAGCTGACTCTCATTGGCTTCAGCTGGATCTTGTGCCCATCCCCGGCCCAGTCTTAGTGACTGTTATCGGCCAGACATGGGTTATATCCTTGCCTCTGGAATCAGGACAAATCAACCCCTTTGGATGCATCGACTCGGATGGGGGTGGGGGTTCTTTAAACTAAAACCAGGACTCCTCCCAGATGGCTTGCTCAAGGTCCCCCGGGGTAAAATCAGCAGACTGCCCGCTCTGGGAAGAAACTGCCATGACCCCCAGGCCTACCTCCAGGACCTATTGTGTCAAGGGAAGATTCAGGAGCACCTGGCAGGGAAAGACAGAGCCTCCCCACCTGGGAGATATTTCCCCTCCATCCACCTTATGGTTATGGTGACTGTAAACAGAGGCCCCAGGAAGCAGGGATGGGTGGGCACAGCTCAGGTTTGGGCAAGACTCATCCCCCGCCCCCCTTTCCCCACCAGGTGGGGGCCTCCCTTGCTCATTTCCCTGTTAGGCAGCAGCGAGACAGGCTCAGGCGTAATGGATGTGTGAGTACCTGGCCCTGTGCCCAACGTAGAATGGACGCTCAGTGGATGCTGTCTCTTCCTTCTTTCTACAAAGGGCTGAGGCGATGAGCTGTGATTGCAGGAGCCGTCACGGGTGCTTCGGTCCTTGTTAGGAACAGTAGGTGTTCCACACAGTCGCTTCTCAAAGGGTGTGAGGAAAAAAACATTCTCTCTCCCTCCCTCTCTTCCCTCCTCTTCTCTCCTTTATTCCTTACTTCTCTCCCTCCCTCTCACAAACACACCCAAGATGTGAGATGCATCTTCACCATCTCACCCCTTTTCCTTTTTGGTGGTTTCTGTTCTTTTATTTGACTGTGCCCACCACCAGCATAGTCCCTGCTGTTTTGTTCTGGGCGGGGGGCGGAGGAGGGACTCAGTGAGGCAGTAGTGAGAGGAGCATGTGGACAAGAGAAAGAACTGGACAGACCAGGTGGAGGGACCCAGAGAGAAAGCAAGCGAAGAAGAAGAAAGAGAAAGCCTCATGTGACGTCGCATCTTATTTGCCACAGCACCTTTTGAGGTATCCCTTTCCTTGACCCTCGCAACGGCCTCGCCTTGAAGAGGTGAGGGAACAAGGCAAAGCAGCCCCCAAAGCTCACCCTATCCCAAAACTCGGGATCCCAGATTCAGACCCAGGTGTGTGCAACTCCAAATTGCCGTCACCTTCCGTGCCACACTGCCCACTCTGGGTGGGGGAGCAGGGTGACGAGGCTAGAAGAAGCCGCGATATGGATCGTGTTTGCTGTGTGGTCTTGAACAAGTGCCTCCCCCACGCTGGGCCAAGAGGATGCTGGTTTGGGATTCACAGGCGCAGACCTTGTGATCAGTCCTCTTGGCTGAGTGCTGTGTTCTGGGTGATGGGTGTTCTGTGCTTACCACTTACTTCTGAACAAACACCATCAATAATTCAAGTTCCCTTTCCTTTATAACCAAGAAAAATTGGTCTCCTGGCAAGATATAAAAAATAATTTCACGCTCTCCTTCCTCTCCTCCCAAAATCACCCCTGACAAATCGTCTCTTTATTGCCTGTCACTCCAGCCATCATAGCACATCTGGGGTCCCATTTTTTATGGTTGCCGGCCTCACTCTCGGCTCTGCCTGTGGCTGGTCCTTAATGGGGCCATCATCAAATGCCAATGAGGCTCCCTCGTTCGTTTGTTCATTCATTCATTCATTCAGGAAATATAGCCTCCTTGTTCCCAGAGATCCAAGGCTTTCCTGTGACAGATGAGACGCTCCCCAGTTTGTTATACTAAAGTGTGAGGGGCTACTTTCTGAACTCTTTATATATTTTTTATCTTTGTAAAAGCAGACCTTATTTATCTTGTATTGACTTCATTGGGGTGGCATTGGTTCACAAAACCATGCAGTTTCAAGTGTAAAACCCAATAAGACATCATCTGCATGCTGCACCCTGGGCCTACCATCCCGAGCAAAGTCTCCTTCCGTCCCCATTTCCCGCCCCCCTTTATTCACCCCCACCCCCCACTTCCCTCTGGCTATCGCCACACTTTGTCATCGTCTGTGTCTATGTGTTATGCCTGTATGATTTTGGTTAACCCCTTCACCCTATTTTATCCAGTCCCCTACCCACCTCCCCATCAGAGCTATGAGCAGAGGTCTGCAAAGAGATAAACGCCAAGGAGAACCAGCCTCCCTGCCTCCCCCATCACCTGTCCCAGGCCCATTCTTGCCCCCTGCAGCCCCACAGCCCCCACACGCCCCCACCACAGCTTCTGTCACAGGATAGGGCAATCCCCTGCAGACATGTCTGCCTTCCCTGTCCAGCTGGGTGACAGAAAGGACTTTGTCTTGCTTACCAGTTCCCAGGCCCTGGTGCCCAGTAGATCCCAGGCAGGCAATCATTTGAACAAACAAAATGATACAATGAGGCGTTAAAAATTAAATGCAAATGTTCCTAAACACGTCCCTCACTTTCCTGAGTCAGATAATGGTAGCTTTTCCAGCAGGCTGTTCAAAACGCCACCCCTTCCTGTCTCTGCAAGACTCGCTTATGGTAGAAAAAGATAGTGCAGAAAAAGAGCCAAAGGGCTTATGACTGTTACAGATAATCTATGTAATAAAGAACCAGCAGAGAGTAAGGAGTAGAGGAGAGAGAGAGAGAGAGAGACGAGGAGAATGAATATGATCTCCCACTTAGGCTGCAAGTGGAATGGAAATGCATTTCTTCATTTCAAAGACTTTATTTAGAGGGTGGAGGATGTTAAGTGAGAGACTCTGGGGCAGTGTGTATAAGAGAACAGGGGAGAAAAGGAATCAAAGTTTTGCTAGGGGACTGGCCTTCTCCATGCATGGCTTTAAAAAACGCACACTAGGAACAATTTATTGGGAAAACAGCAATCATAAATACATGTGCATCAAGTAACAGAGCTTCAAATTCTTGAAGAAAATAAAATCAGTAAGAAAAATGGGCAAAACTAAAGGGAACAGATTAACCCAAATTATAGTAGGAGTATTAACAGCCCTCTCTCAGTAACTGATAAGAAATCAGCAAAGGTATAGAAATATTGAACCAATAGTCAACCAACTTAACATAATCAACATTTACAGAACACTATACCCAATAACTGCAGAACTTAATTAATTTTCAAACCTATCAAAAATAGACCATACGCAGGGCCATAAAAGAAGTATCAACTCATTCCAGATTATTGAAATCTTGAGTCTGTTCTCTGACCACAATGGACTAAACTAACAATCAGTAGCAATCAATTATGTAGACAAATCCCAAGTATTTAGATAACGCACCTTTAACCCCTGGGTCAAAGAAAAAAACCACAAGGGAAACTAGAAAATATCAAACTGATTGATAATGGTGCTCACTTCAGCAGCACAAATACTGAATAATAATGGAAACACATCAAATTATAATTTGTGGGAAATAGCTAATGTGGTACTAGAAATTTATAGCTCTAAATGACTGTGCAGGGCAGGGGTAGAGAAAAGGAACTAAGTTTCGTGGTTCGAGTCTACCTTTAAAAGCTAGGAAAATGAAAAATAAAGTAAACCTGGAGTAAATAGAAGGAAAAAATACTAGAAAACAAAACTCAGTAAAATAAAACACAAATAGTAAAGGAAATTAACAAAGCTAAACATGGGTTCTTGAAAAGGATTAATAAGACTAAAGAGCACAAGCTAACACTGGATTTCTTTCATGACTTTTTTATTACTTTCAGTGTTTGGTGATGGCCGTGCACATGGACTGGCTCCCGTAGGTGCTGGGCTCCTATAGGTGCTGGGCCCCCGTGGAGTTGCAGGGGGAGGGAGGACGTGACAACCTCCACAGCATCTCTGCTCCGGACAAACACGGGTTCCCTGCTCGGCGCCGGCCCTCCCGCTCACTGCTGGACTCTGCGGGCACTCTGCACCTGGAAGCTCTGGGCATGAGCGCCCACTCCCGGAAATGCTTGTAGTCCCCTGAGTGGTGAACACACTCCAGCACGTACTGAAAACCTCGGTAGCCAGGGAACTGGGAACACCCCCAGCTGGGGGAGGGAAACGGCAGGTTGTTGCCCTAGAGAGGCACCAGCGCGGTGATTGAGACAGGGACAAAGACACCCGTTCAGGGTCTAGAATGTGCCTTGCTCTTTCTACCACTGTGCCTTTCGTCATGCTGTTCCCTGTCCTGGGAACACCATTCCAGCCATTCTTTGCCCAGCCAAGTTGTATTTCTCCTTCAGGTCTCAGCTCAAGCATCACTCCATCAGGGTGGTCTGAGCTGCTCTCCACATTAGGCCACAGTCCCTTATTGTACCTTTGGAGCTCTCATGTGATTAGGTAATTAAGAGATTACTTATAAAATGCCCCCCTCCTCAACATATAGTGAGCTCCTGGTGCAGGGGTGTGTGTGCCTGGTCCATTGTTATCTCCAGTGCCTAACATAGTGCCTGGCACAGAGCAGGGGGCTCAATAAATGCTTGATGAGTGAATGAGTGAATGAATGAATGAATGAATGAATGAGCGGGGAGTCTTTCCCCCTCCTTCCTTACCCAGAGGCACATCCAAAAAAAGCACTATTCTTTCAACTCATTGACCCCTATTCTGTCCAGAAATGGACAAAAATGGCCAGCTCATTTTTCTGAGTAGACTCAAGAATCACAAGAGGTTCATTCTACTCTGGAACAACATAATTCTCTGGTGATATCTGAAAAAATTAAAAAGCAGAAACCCCACCTTGCCTACCTCCCACCTTCACCCCTGCCTACCAGGAGCCAAAGGGCACCTCAGCAGGTATCTCAAATGTCCTCCCCAACTGAGGACCTCATATCTCGGCCTTCACCTGCCATCTCCTAGGTAAAAGGGATGGGAAGGAACAGTCATTTCTGGGCTTGAAGCTGGGTTCAGTCACCTCCCTGCTGATGGACTTGGAGCAAGCTGCTTGAGCCACCTCTGGGTTATGGCTGGCCACGCATTCTCTGCTCTCCCCTCCCCCTCTCAGCCAATGTGGGAAAATGCTCGCCCCAGCAATAAGCATGTGACGAGGCCCAGTCAATCAGAGCACCCAATGACTGTGGTCATGGCGATTGCTTCTGAGTTGAACACATGACTGAGGTTGGACCAATAAGAGCCTTCCCTGGGACCTTTGGGGGGATCCCTGAGAAAGACACTCTTTCCCTCAGGCTAGCTGAAATGTAAGGATGAGGCTGCCATCCTGCCGTCACACGGTAAGAGCTTGCCTAAGAATATAGCCACCCTGGCGGGCAGGGCAAGAGGGGGAGAAAAACAGATCCCGGCTGAAACACCTGGATCCACCTGTACCTGAAACTAATTACAGGGGCCAGTAAATATCCTTTGGGTTTAACACCATTTTGACCTGGTCATCTATTGCTTGCAATCCCAGAAATTCTGCCTGATATCTCCCTATGTTTCTGTGTCCTCCTCTGGAATGTGGGCATCAGAGCCCCAAAGTTCCCAGCGCATGGCTGTCACAGGAGGTGTCCCTAACCCTCCCAATATCCTCTCTTTCCCTGCCGGACAGAGCTCTGGATCCACTTACGCCCCGGATTGGATGTGGAAGGAGCCCACTTGGTTGCCATCCCATCCCATGGCCTGGAAGGAGGGATAGTCATCAGCCAGCTCTCCTGTGTGGCCCAGGAAGTTCTCTTGCTCAAAGATGGTCAGCCTCGAGTCACAGTGGTTCTGCAGGCACAGAGAACAGGGTCGGACTGCCAGGGGCACAGCTGGAAGCCCAGGAGCCTCTGCTGCCCACCGCTGCCTCTGCCCTTGTCTTCCAAATCAGCCTTCCTTGCAATCCTTTTGAAAGGGCAATAAGGCAACAGGCACTAGAAACCTTATAAGAAAAAAGAAAGGGAAGGGGAGAGGAGGGGAGGAGAAGGGAGGGGAGGGGAAGGAGAGAAGTAAAGAGAAAAGAAAAGAACAGGAGAAGGAAAAGAAGGGAAAAGAAAAGAAAAGAAAGAAAAAAGAGAAGAGAAAAGAAAAGAAAGAAAACTCAACTTGAATATCCAGCAACAGGGATCAGGAAGTAAACTGGCACATTGTGCTGTGATTTAGAGAAGGGTGCAGAGATCTGGGTTCAAATCCTGCTCTCCACTTACCAGCTGACTGAGCTTGGACATGTCACACAGCATTTCTGAGTCCATTTGCAAATCTATAAAATGAAACTAACCACATCTGCTTTTCAGGATTGTTTCTGAGGACCAAGTGAAACCTGAAGTTGTAAACTATGCAAAAGCCGGGTTTGTACCTGCCTGAGTCCGCCCTGGGTACCACGTCAGCACAAGGCCCCGGCCGCTTGTGGAAGGAATGAACAATTAATCCTATTCACAGAATGGAATTCCACAGTGCTAGGATAAATTTAATGGTGTTATAAATTAGATTTAATCTCCTGGGAGGATCATTGTGATATATTTGCCTAGTGAGAAAAGCTGGTTTCCAAGCCTTTGGTGTGTTATGATTTAACTTTTATAATAAAATGATATGTGTGTATAGCTATACCGATATAGGCATAGATATTGAAATCTGTAGCACTGTAAACAATGGGCTTCCATCTCAGAGGTGTGGGCATGAGTGATTTTTATTTTCTTATTCTGCCATATCAGGGTTTTTCCTGAATTTTAGATGATAAATATGTGTGCCTTATATGATTTTAAATCAATAAAAGTTGTTTTTGAAGAAAGAAATAATACACCTTTCAGAGCCTCAATTTTTTTCAGCTGTAAGATGGGAATAACGAAGCCCACCTCCGCCATACTCCACAAACAGCCGCTAAAATATAAAATCGGGAACACCGATAGTGAATCAGGAACAAGAAATAGAACGCTGCCTGCCCACCTCGCCCTGCCATCTCTGGCACCCACTCCTCCCAGTATTTCTGAGTCATAAAGAGGGGGCACACAGCGTCTGTGTGTGTCCTTTGTATCTGAACTCTGCTCCTATCGTAACCAAAGTGGTGATGGGAGGGGTGTTTGCAGCGAGTTTTGCCCAGACGCTAAACGTCCTTCTTCCCCACAATATAAGTACTAGGGCCCCGTGTCATGATGAAAAAAATGTGGCTCACAGAGGGGAGGGACTGCCATGTCCCACAGCTTGAAGAAGTGACATGAGAAACTGAACTCTGGGACATCCAGTTCCCAAGCCCCCATGGGAGGGGCCCGAGCCTCCCTGGGAGGAGGCGGTAGCAGGACTCACAGTGCAGCCCAAAGGCCGGAAGGAGGTGAGCCTCTGGGCGGGGTAGGCCATGTTGCTGCTCCAGGCGGCCCCGCACGGGTACTCGCCCTGCTCCAGAACGTACTGCTGTCCTTGGAAGCCAGCGTGCTCGAAGCCCACCCACCTGTGGACAGAGGGTGGGGAGTGCAAGAGACAAGAGACCCTTCACCCAGAGTTCTAGACCGACCAATGGTTACCATGCAGGGAGGCGTTCAACAAAATCTGCAGACAATTTTCGTCATGATTCTGGAAGGTGGGAGGAGGGGGTGTTTGCAAATGACATTTAGTAGATAGAGGCCAGAGATATTGCTAAATATCCTTCAGAGCACAGAACAGCCCCCATCCAAACAAAGACTTATCCAGCTCCACCTGCCAATCGTGCCAAGGTGGAGAAACCAAGTTCAGACCTAGCAGCCCACTGACTTGCTGTGCATCCCAAAGAGAAAGAACTGCTCCATGCAGCCACCTGAAAGCCTTGATGTGTCCCTCCAGACCATGAGGGCAAAGCTTGACCCCAGGCTAATAGGAGCCTTGAAGGGACTCCATGTGACCCTCCGGGAACATGGGAAGATGGGCAACCTTGCAAGGGGCTGCCATATGCCATGTCCCACCCGTCTCCTGCTCCTGAGAAAGGCTTCTGCGGGGCAGTGCTCAGCTGCCTCCCTGGTTCCCATGAGAATGGGACTTTCCTCCTCGCCACGCGGGAGCGTACAGTGCAGGCTGTAGCTGAAGCACAGAGTGACACCCCCCACCCGGTAACAGGGTGCCCACATTCCTGCTGTCATATGATCCCTGTTGTTTTGGTGCCATCCTATGGGACAAGGGACACAGGAGGCTGACACCATGCTAACCTTGCCCTTGCTGTCTATATAAATAAAACATTGTCTGCGTCTGCCTGAGCTTGTTGTCTCCTTTCTGGCCCAATCTGTTGGCCTGCTGGGCATATCCCTGGACAGGTCACTGTTCCCATCTGAGCCCCAGTTCCCCACCTGCACAAAGCAGAAGCTAAAAGAGTTTACCTTGGTGTAAGATGCATAAACACCACCCAAGGTGACCTTCACAGACACAGCGTGAAATGACTCTGAGTCACATGGAAAGAACATTGTTCTCCTTTCAATCTACTTTCCAACCTTCTAGAAACTTCTGATCAATACCGTGGGTAACCATTAGCCACATGGTGCCAATTAAATTTAAACTTAAAAAAGTTAAAGTAAATGAAAACTTCAGGTCTTTAGTCACACTAGCTACATTTAGAGCCCTCCATGGCCCTATGTGGCCTGTGGTTCCAAACCAACTGTGCAGATGTGCAATATTTTTATCACTGCAGCAAGTTTGGCTGAACTGCGCTGATCTAAAAAGTCTCAGTATGGTATTGGTGTCTCCTTAACACTTTTGTACATCTCATCAATCAAAAAAAATAAACATCTCATGCTCAGAGCTTCAGTCAAGCAACAATGTTCAACTAAAACTTAATAGCCTTTTTTTTTTACTATCTTTTAATGGTTACCGTCCATTTTGAGTAAGTGATGTTGTTTTTAGATTTATGCCTAAGAGGGGCGTTTCAGTCCTGGCGCTCCATTCTCCAGGCCAGCGCGTGCAGCGTCCTCTCACCCAGGGGACAGGATCTGTGCGAATGGCGCCCCCTACAGGTGGGCAGTGCACAACCTACATAACGGTACACTTCGTCCTGCTTGTCCCCAGCACTTCGGACCCACCGGGAAGTACAGCCTGGGAAGTTCTCAAACATCTAAAGGTTCCAGCACCCCTCTCTAGATCCCCTCCTGTCTCCCCCACCCCGGCTCAGTACCCCTGGACTCACGCTCCGCTCAGCACTTTCAGAGCTCGCACAGTCTCGAAGCCGAGTTCCAGCACGCTGGGGCACTCCGCGGTGAACTCCTGCCGCCGGCCCTGGAAGCCCTCCTCGTCCCACACCACAGTCCAGGACAGAGGGGAAAGATGGAGACCCACATGGGAGTCCTGTGCGGGGTGAGGGCTTAGGGACTCACCCCAGGGCTCAAGATGAGGCGGGACAGATGAAGCAGGGATTGCAAACTCAGCTGCCTCCAGTGGCTGGGCCAGATAGGAGGGCGAGGGCTGGTGGGAACCAGAGCGCGCCCGGCACAGGGAGGTGGCCTCTGCTCAGCGCCACCTATTGTTGTTATGTGAGAATGAGGGCCGACTTTCTGACCCTCCAAATTTTAAAAAGGAGATGACAAATTTAAGGGTTAACACACACTCACACACACACACATACACACACACGCGCGCGCGACCAGAGAAATAACGCCTAAAGACAATACAATCACCAGTTCCCCATCTCTTCCAGAGAGAGAGTGTGTCATGGTTCAGTCTGGGGACCTGAAGACCCAAGTTCAATTCAAGGCCTCGTGTGTGACCTTGGCCAAGTCCCTTCCCCTCTTTTAACACAGATTCCATCCTCTGTGAGATGGGCCCTCACAATTGTGAGGTGGGGATCCCATGGGGGTGGAGATGGGGGCGTCCTGGACCTGGCATTGACCTGTACCCCCCACTTCCCAGACACCTCTAAGCCTCTTCCTGCCTTCCAGTGTCCCCCTGATTCGGTGCATTGCAAGGTCATGTTGCTGCCTCCCTGCACGAGAGAAGAACATGGGAACCTTAGCCCTGCCTCAGCTCTCTTCCTGGACGCTGGCATCTAGACTAAGCTAGATGGAGACCCAGATGGGGTCCAGACGTGCCTGGGCCGGGGGCACAGCACAGCTTTGGTCTGTCCCTCTCCTTCCCTTCCCATCTGGGGCCAATACCATTTTCTTTGCTTCCTTCCTGTCACCGTCTCAAAACTTACCCACTCTGATAGAAACTGAAGCAACAGGACTACAAGAATAATTTTGTTTTAAAGTGAGGATAGCAGGCACTAGTCTTGATGTCAGGGGCCTGGGTTAGGATAAGGAAGCCATGCAGGATGACGCAGTGATGTGCCCAGGATTGGGGCCCTGGCCTCCCCTGCCTCCCAGGAGATGCCCTCAGAGTACAGATCCCACCCCTTCTCCAAGCCTGGGACTTACCACGGTGGACCCAGAGACCGTGCCTGACCTGGGACCAGGCGAGGTCAGGCTCTTATAGGCAGGGAGGGGAGAGGGCCTCCGGGAGGCAAAGCCCCGACTTAGCAAGCGAATAGCGGGAATAAAAGGCAGCCCTGGCTGAAGCCCCAGCAGAGAGGTGTCAGCACCCTTGGCTTCAGCTGGGAGGGAAAGGGGCAGGTGGCCTCACTCAGGGACCTGCCACAAAAGAGGCCAGAGGAGGGAGTTCAGCCTTAATCACCTCCGTGGGGTCCCTGACTGGAACATAAGAATGCGCACTGGACTAGGAGTCCGAAAACTGGATCCTTTCTAGCAGTGTGACCTGCATCAGTTCGTTTCTCCTCAGTTTCTGCCTATAAAATGGGACAAGAATAAACTATGTCACTGGGGTGTTGTGATGTTATATTATATGCCTGGCATAACATTCAGCAAATGCCTATGGCTTTCCCTCTTCCTACACTACTTCCTCTTCCAGCAGTGGCAGTCAGGGGAGGCTTCCTGTTGGAGGTGGCATTTAAACTAGATTCTGAAGGGTGAGGAGGATTTGTGCAAAGTGAGATGGAAGGAAATGCTTTTCTAAGCAAAAGTGCCAAGGTGGGAACTCAGGACGTGTATGAGAAAGATCCTGGCTGAGCGGGAGTTCAGAAACCTGGACGGAGTAAAGGGAGCCAGGCCAGGAAGGCGCGCTGGGCCCAGGCCTCCAAGGCCCATGAAACCCGCAGAGCCATCTGGACTCTGCGGGCGGACTAAGGGGGCTGGCGGGTGCACACGTGCTTTGCAACCTGTAGCATGCCTGCCAAATAGCCAGGCTTTGGAGAATTTGCTTTGTGCGTCCTCTTCCCACACCTTCTGATTTGACCTAAAAGGGGCTTCTCACAGAGTAGGAAAGAGTGTGGCAGAGACCAGACCACTCTGGGTGAAATCCAGTCCTGCCTCTGAACAGCCGGGCAACCTGGAGGATGTCTGACCTCAGCCCCTGGCCTATAAAGGGGCAATATGTGCCCCTCTGGGAGGGTTCAATTAAAAGCAGCCCCATCCAATGCATGATTTTGATAAAGGGTTCCTGTGAGGATAAAGGGCTAAGGATGCAGCCCTCTGCAGCGAGACCACCTGGGTTTGCATCCTATTCTTGCTGACTGGATAACCTTGAGCATGTAACTTCATCTCTCCAAGCCTCAGTTTCCTCCTGCGTGAAACGGGTACAACAAGGAGATTGGGTTAGCCTAAGAGATAAGCACAGGTAAGTGAGGGGAAACGTGGATTACACGTGAACAGCACTTGGAACACAATGCCTCCATCATCATCGTCATCATCAATGTAAACAATAAACATGATTACTATTAAATCATTATTTGTTTAAAACCAGAAGTGCATACTTTTAAGAGCTTCAGTCCAGGAGTTTAAAAGATATGACCCAGAGGAGCCAGCAGGTTGAGGGAGGGGAAAGGGAGATGCTGCGGTTTCCTTGCGGTTTCCTTGAAAGCCCCGCATCATAGTAAGGATTACAAGAGCCAAGTCAGTAAAGCGCTCAGCATGGAGCCACCCAGCATGGGGGCCATCGCCCACCTCTGAGCCCACCCTTTGGCAGGCAGCCCATTGCCACAGGAGACAGAGGACTGCCCCAGACGGCCTGACCTTGAAGCCCAGACCTGTGGGTGGCCCCCCACCACCCATGTGTCTTGGCCCCGTTCCTGTGTCCCATACCATGGTTCCTGCCTGCCTCCCAGGCCTTGGCCCAGGATGAAAGGCTGAGAGAGCACCTGGGATGTGAGGGGGTTCTGGATTGGGTGGAAGGAAGAAAACAGGGTGGGCTACGGTGATCTCGAGGTGAGCCGGGCTCCAAGGGAACGTGCCTCCCCTGCAAAAGAGGCAGGAACCTGGGCAAGTCCCCCTCGCCGCCAAACCCACCTGGGGCAGGGATGGGGTCAGCCTGTGGGCTAACTTGTCTCAGCAGTTCCTCTGGGTTCCTTCAGCCCTGGCTCTGCTGTGAGTTCACACCATGTGGCCTTGTTGAAGTCATTTGTTCTACCTGGGCTCAGTTTCTCCATCTGTGAAATGAGGTTATTGGATGCAAGGACTTCTGATATCTGTTCCATTATTCTGGGTCTATTGCTCTATTGCATCCGTCTCTCTGTCCGCCACCCTCTCTCTCCTTCACTGTCTGGTCCCCTCCCCGCCCCCTCTGTATTTCTGTCTTCATCATCTTCCTCTGTCGCTCCCTACTTCTCCCAGTCAGTGACCCCATTTCTCTCTGCCCATCTTGGTTCCCCTACCTTCCTCTGTACCCTTCTTCCATTATGATCCACTGTGACCCTCTAGTCCCCCCCAAACTGATAAAGGGCCTACTGTGTGCCAGGCCCTGTGCTGGGTGCTGGGGCCCGGGGCTGACAGGCTGTGGGTGGAGTTGAGGACCTCCCAGAAGAAGTTCCGAGATGAGCAGTCACAGTCCCGGCCACCGGCTCTGTCCCTGGAGTCAAATGACAGGGAGCGGGCCTTCAGGTGGGTCAGGGGAAAGTAGGGGGAAGAACGTGGGCCCAATGTGAGCAGAGGAACAAGACCCAGGCATTAAATATTCAACCCGCTGAGCACAGGGAGATGCCCCCAGCACTATCCCTGTATCTACAAGCAGGAAATCAAGCCAGGTTCAAGGTCTGACGTCGTGAGAATGAAGCATTCAGGCCCCCTACCTGGGCCGGCTCCTGACTCTGCCCTCTCTGTTCCTTAGCTTTGCCCATCTGTGACATGGGTATAATGGAAGTGCCAAATAAGGTGGGCTGTCCTGGAGGTGGACCGAGACGGCAAGGTCAGGTGCTTGGTTCCGTGCTTCACACCCAAGAAGCACTCAGTAAGTGGGGCTGTGGGTATTCCACCCCCACCTGCCTTCACGAAGCACTTCCCCGTCTCCTGTGCTCATCGTCACCTTCTTTCTTGTTCAGCACCCAACAGGGACACCGTGCCTGCAGCCGCAGAGGTCCTGAAGAGGAGAGACCTGCCAAAAGCCACACAGCACACAGTGGCTGAGCCAGGGTTCAAATTCAGGGGCTTCTCTTTTCCCTGCCCCCAAATTGGCAGCCAGCAGGGACCCCATGGGGCCCACGCTGGCTGGGGTTTTAGAAGGAAGCAGCAGGGGAAGAACCGGGTAAAGTCCCTGCTGACCAGGTTTCGGCCGTGCATGCGGGCTCACAATGGAAAATGCTTATCTCTGCATTAAGCCAGGCAAGGCGGCAGCCTCAGCCCCCAGCTCCACGCCCCGGGGCCAGCTGAGCCACCTCCCTCTTTGTGCCACAGGGTATAGGGCCTGGTGTCTGCCAGACTATAAAATGGGGGGTCAGCCCCAGGGGCCCACAGCACCCACCCGCCAGTCTGCCTGTCCTCCAGCAGGAAGTGACTGGTCGCCAGGTAAGAGGGAACTCACCCCAACTGCTGAGAGCAGAAGAGGAGGGGAGAAGAGAGAGGACTCAGAGGAGGGAAGCAGAGAGAGCAGTTACAGAAGAGTTAGAGAGAGGAGGTAATTAAGGGAAGGGGAGAGAGGGAGGGAGAAGAAAACACAGTAATAAAGAACAGACAGAGGACTAGGCAGAGATACAAAGGAAGCAAGATGCTAGAGGGGAGAGAATCCCGCGTGGGGTGGGGAGGAAATGAACAGGCATATATCTCCAGGATGAAGTGAATCCAGCTACTAGCCCGGGGGCACGTTGATTCACGGAATGACACGGGGGAGTAAGCAAGAGCCTGGAAGCCACAGATGTGGCCCAGATGTCTGGCCTGCCCACGATGGGCAGCGCACCCCAGAGTAACAACAGTGCTTCCTGGGGGCAGGGCAGGGCGGGGCGGGATGGTTTCTGCAATCCACTGGGTCTCAATCTGCATTGTCAGGGGCTCTGCGAATGCCTGGGAATTGTCTCTAAAATTAAAGGGGGCTTTTCGCCCTGGGGACAAAAACAAGGCATCTGTCAAACACTCAAAGGCGCCCATGACCCCAGAACAACAAGGAACCACTGAAATTTGGATCACAGTCCTCTCCACCCAACGCCTACACAGCCACAGTCCTCATTTTAGAGCCCGGACACGCACCCAAGACATCCTCTGGGGACCTCCTTCCCTCCCCAGTCCCAGGCCTGCTCTGCACCCACACACTCCTTCCCAGAGAATGCCCGGGACGGCAGTTTGACTGGGGAATGAGACAGGAACGTGCATCCGTTCGCTCTCTGAACAGATGTTAGATGAGAATCCCCTTCATGCCAGGGGCTGAGCCAGGGCCTAAGCCAGGTGCTGGGGATGGAGGGGTGAATAAATCGGAATAAGTAAACAGCGGAGCATTTCATAACCCTGCTGCTGGGTCCACCCACTTGAGCTGAAACTGGAGCCCTACCATTTAGTGGCTGTGTGGGCTCGGGCACTCTGGGCCTCAGAGAGCTCAGCGGCGGCGGCGGGGGGGGGGGGGGGCGCGGTAAGAGGGCACCTGGGACACAGGGTTAGGATGAGAACAGACGAGTTCGCCACCGCGCGCAGCAGAGTCTGCCATATCTACACTGCACCCAAATGTGACTTCCTGTTATTAACCTAGTGAGGCAGATTGACGCTGCACAAGCAAAGAAGTGTAATCAGGGGTGTGAAAAACTACAAGTGTAAAGGAAGAACCTGGCAGGGGGATGGGGGGGTAGGTAGAAGGAGAGGTGGAGGGACTGGCCCAGTTAAAGGCCTAGAGGAAGCGGTATCAGGGATGCCTGGTCCCCAGTCAGGAACTTCTTGCTTGGGAAGGGAGGTCAGGCCACAAGACTTCAAGACGTATGTTTCAGAAGGAGAAAATAAGAAATGAGTTGAGGGTGGGCAGGGCAAGGGATACTAATGGGTGGGGGGTGGGGAATGGAACAACTGTCATTAAACAACAATAAAAAGTTTTTAAAAAGGAAATAAGTTGAAAGGATCTTGAAAAACACAGGGGCAGGGATTGTGAGTGGGGAGACGGCGGCTTGGGGGTGCCACCCCTAAATTCACCCAGGCCAAAGGTTTCTTTACAGGCATTTGCAGGTGGGAACCATGTCTCAGGCTGCCAAGTCCTCAGCAGTGGCTGCGGTGAACCCGGGGCCCGATAACAAGGGGAAGGGGGCCCCACCCGCAGGACCTGCCCCCAGCCTCGCCCTGGCCCAGGCATCCACGCCCAAGCCCACCGCCACAGCGGGGGACTTGCCTCCTGGGAGCTACAGGGTAAGCGCCTGGGGGTAGGGTGACTGAGCACCACCCCACACTTCCTCCTTCCTCCTCCCCTCCTCCTGGCAGCCTCTGACCTGCACTTACACTTGTTTAGAGTTTGTGAAAGCAAAAAACAAAAGGGAAGAAAGTGGGCTGGCTTAGCAGCAGGAAACACCTGTCCCTGGAGGTTCTCTAAAGACAGCAGGGTGGCCCCAGATCCTCCTGAAAATTGTCCCAAGCAGTGGGTCAGTCTGACTGCAAGGCCATCTGGAGAGCGCAGGCATTCAGCAGGCCCCTGGGGTTGGGCTGGGGTTTGCTTTCAACCTCAGGTGCGCTGGACTGGTTCACCACCTTTGGTCCATGATGCTCTCTCACGTGGTCCACGCATGGCTGGCTTTTATTACATACTTACTGAATCGTTTATTTTTATCTAATTTTTAACACACATCTACAAACCCACCACCCATATTAAAAGCCAGGATTTGGTAAAAAAAAAAAAAAAAAAAAAAATCCTCTAATTCTAAGGAAAATGTCCCCCAGAAGCCCACGGCCCTCCTCCCCCCGCTCCAGGCGACTGCCATCCTCACCAGGTCCATCTGCTTGCTTTGCTCGCTTGTTCATGCATTTTTAGGCATTATTCCTTTAAAAGTGTTTATTTGTTATTTATGTGTCTTTAACTTACTGAAATACACCGTATGTAAGCCTTTGGGATTTTGCCTTGTTTTTCACTCGCTCTGAGATGCCCAACAGTCGCCCATATTGTTTCGCATTGTTGGGGCCATTTGTTTCCTCCGCTGTACGGTTTCTCAGAGTGTGACCGTCGCTGCTGTGGACCATTTGGGTGGTTGGTAGCTTTGCTGCGGGAAACAGCTCTGGGACAGGATGTTCTTATCTATGTGTCCTGGGCAGGAATTCCTCAGGGTGGACAAGCACTAAGTCAAGCATATGTGAACCTCCTCCTTTCACAGCTGGGGAAACCGAGGCTCAGAGAAAAAAAAAGACGCTTGTCTTCGTTCAAGTAAATGGCATGGTTTTCCCAACTTGAAACAAGTGGATCATAAACAAAACTGGGGGCTTAGTGAGGGGAGGGGATTGGCCAATGTTCACACAGTGGCGTCTGCTTCTGGGTCCCCATATTGTGGCAGGTAGATGGGCACGTGCTTCCCGAGCAGCGGCCCTGAGGCAGGTGCTGGGCCAGAGCTGGAGATACAGAAACAGGTCAACCCCACGCACGGTCCTGGAGGAGCCCTTGGTCTTCAGAGGGGTTGAGTGAAGAGGAAGGGGCGAGCATTGAGAGAGGCCCAGAAGGAAAGCCAGTGCGACTGTGTGGTGCATTGCTTGTACTGCTGCTGAAGTGAGCACACTAGGGGGCACTCAACCAAGCCCACCTAAAGAGAGGGCATCACAGAAGGCTTCCTGGAGGAGGTGATGTCTGAGCCTAAAACGGAACAGGGAACATGCGCTCTGGCGTGGGGATGTGTGGTGGAGAGGGTGTGCCAGGCAGAAGAAACAGCACAGAAGAAGGCCTGGAAGGAAGACTCCCCTCAGTTCCTAACAATGGTGTGGATATTAACTTCAGAGGTAGAGGGAGGGGCTACAGAGTCATTCCACAGACCTTGGCTCATGACACACTCTCATGTGATCTGTGCATGACCTGCTTTCACTTACATAGGGACTTAATGAATTTTTCTCCAGGTTGGAGGTGCTCCTTTCCACTCACTCTGCCCCTACACCACCCCCAGGCTTGGGGCTTCTCTCCTCCAGCTGGTGGTCTTTGAGCAGGAGAACTTCCAGGGCCATCGGGCGGAATTCCCCAGGGAGTGCTTGAACCTGGGAGACCGCGGCTTCGACTGTGTGCGCAGCCTCATTGTCGCCTCTGGACCGGGAGTGCCAGGCCGGGGAGGAACACTCTTGCTGCCAGAGGAAAATAACAATAAAACAGCAGCAGCTGCCATCTCCCGGGGCGCCTGCTCTGTGCTAGCAGAGACACACATAGTATTTCTAGTCCTCGTTTCAAACCCAAGACGGGGGAGGGAGAAATTCTCCCCATTTTACTGAGGAAACTGAGGCTCAGAGAGGTGATTCGATTATCATAATGTCACACTGATAATACGTCATGATCCTGGGCTCCAGAGAAATTCGGCTTCTGCTATAAAAGGAGCCCTGCCCCTCGCAGAGGGCAGGGGACCTAAGAGCCAGTGTCTGCCAGCTGCCTCCGCTCCTGGGCATTAAGGAACCTTGAGAGTAACAATAAGTATCCGTTGAGCACCCACTAGGTGCCAGACACAGACTGACGGCTTTACCTAGATGACTGTACAATGCTCTTTGAGGGAGGGGCTGTTCTGATACCCATTTGACAGATGGGCAAACTGAGGCTCAGAGGGCTTAAGTCGCTCAGCCAAAGTCACCTACTGGCAACTGGCAGAACCTGGGTTCGACGCCAGTTGACCAAGTTCACCCTTCATGCCCCATGGCCTGCCCTGACTTTCTGGGCTTCTCTGGGCCTTAGTGACCCCCAGGAATAATTCTCCCTTAGAAATCGTGGCTGTACCACCTCTAGCCCCTGTGGACTGAAGTGAGGGCACACGACCAGACCCCCGTGGCTGCTTTGCTGCTTGTCTCCCCAGCCCAAAAGCCCCCAACGGGGATGATCAGCCTGTATGTCCAGCATCCTGGGGTTCTTTGCAGTGCAAAGAGCAGAGGTGGGCTTTAAGGTCAGACAGGTCTGGGTTCGAGTCCCAGCTCCCCCAGACCATGCTTAGTCTCCAAGCCTCAGTTTTCTCATCTCTGAAATGATGTCCCCAGTACTCTCCGCTGATTTATTCTGAGCCCTGAAGGAGACAATGCAGCTTGGGGCTGGCACTTCCTGGGTGCCCACACATGGCCGGGACAGAGATGATTATTAGCCTTCCCCACTGCCCTGTGAGTTTAGCTGAGTCACCCTGGTTGAATGGAGGGGGGGGCCGTTTCTATATCCTGCAACCACCCCCATCCCCAGTGTGGTCAGCACAGCCTCAGCTCCACCCCCATTCCTAAAGCCCAGCTGGGAACAGAAGCTGCCGGATGTGGCCACTTTGGGTTTTTAAGCTTTTTTCAGTGCCAGTGATTCAAACCCAAAGTATTTCCCCTCCAACAAAGCTGCAGCTGGTCTTTGGTGTGTGTCTCAGGCTGCGCCTGGAGGGGAGAGAAAAGCGCCTGTGGTCCAGGGCCCCTGGGCCGCGTCAGGACCAGCAGGGGTGAGGGGAAATCGTGGTGGGAAAAAGGTTGCAGAGGGTGAGGCTGGCAGCGGGGAGGGGAGGCGAGGCATGACTCCAGCACAGGGGCCTGCCTACCTGAAACCCAGGAGCCCTCAACCTGCCACCTGCCACCATCCTGTGACCTTAAACTGGTGACTTAACCCCTCTGAGTCTCAGTTTCCATATCTGTAAATTAAGATTCCTGTCTTACCTCCCTCCTTGCTCCTAAGGCTCAAATGAGCCACAGGAGATGAGGAAAGGCATTGAAATAAATATTTAAGATGTCTTACTCATGTAACAGGTCCTCTCTGGGCACGATGAAGAAGACAGGGGACCCGGGGGGAGACGGGCAGGGTGGCAAGACCGCATCAGTGTCTGCCTTTCCCTAAGCGCAGCCCTCAGGAGTTTCCCTTGCTCTTTGATCATAAAATATATTATTTATTGTGCTTTCTCTGTGCTGGATGTGTTCCGTAGATTTCTTGCGTAGACCCTCAAAACATCCTGACAAGGTAGACGCAGTCATTTCCTCCCTTACTGAGGCTTAACAAGCTTAAGTGACTTGCCCAAAGTCATGCTGAAAATAAATGATGAGCTCGGATTAGAGCTCGGGTCTCTGTTTCCAGATTCTACACTCTTAACTCCTGCATAGCACCATCTTCCAAGGATCCCTTCCCCATCCACCCACCCACCCATCCATCTATCTATCCATTTATTCATCCCTCTGCTTACCCTTGCTTCCACCCCTCCATTCTCCATCACGCAGATTCGTCCATCCATCAGTACACTCATCCATAGAGCCAGCCATCTACCCAACTATCCATCAACCACCTACCCACTTACTCATCCATTCACCTACCCATTCATTCAACCAACAGTTCATCTCTCCATCCACCCACCCATCCATCCATCCATATCTCCACCCTTTTCTTACCGACTCTAGACCATGCAGGGCTGAGGTAGATTCAACTCCATTCTGGGAGGATAAGTCTGCATCTTCAATTCTGTCACTCCTGTATGGGTCAGTTCATTCCTCAGACAAGACCTGAGACTTCAGGGACACATTCTGTTTCAGTTCATGGTGGTAGCCAATTCTCTACCCTATCTCCCTATCTCCTTGGGTAGAAGAAGGTCCCAGAGAGATGATACTGATGTCAGTGTCCTCTTTTGTTCCTGAAAACACATAAAGAGCAAAGGTCAAGGGGTCCCTTAGTCTCAGCCTTCTCATCAATAAAATGGGGATCATCCCATCTCCCCCAGAATCCCTGGTCCTTGTAACACAGCCTCACTTCCCGTCCTTAATCAGGCTGCAGAGGGAAAGGCAGGCAAAGCCCCCACTTGTCTTCAAGCTTATAGTTAGTTTTTGTTGAAGGCTGAACACCTTCATATCCATGGTCGTGTTTAAGTCTCACAGGTATCTGAGATGTAGATATTATTATCTATCATTTCCCTTCTACTGCCTGCATACCAATTACTGAGTGTCTTCCGTATGCCAGGCCAGTCTTTTATTTTATTTTATTTTTTATTGATTTAGAGAGAGAGGAAGGGAGGGGGAGAGAGAGAAACATTGATTTGTTGCTCCACTTATTTATGCATTCATTCGTTGATTCTTGTATTTGCCCTGTTGCCCTGATCGGAGATAGAACGTGAAACCTCAGCGTATCGGGGACGATGCTCTAACCAACTGAACAACACAGCCAGGACCGCCAGGCCAGTCTTTACCAAACATATGAATCAATCACCTGTATCAATTTTTCCCTGACCTCTCTACCTTGAGGACGACTTTTATTTAATATATTTCATTTAAAATAGCCCTTTTTAACAGAAATAAGTATATTTTAAAAGAACTTTTACATCATTTTTGTAGAAGGAAGGCTGGTATCACTTGCTGTAAGAAAAGGTATCCATAAAAAATGAATACGATGAGCTCAGAGCAGCGCTATTATACCATTGTCTGCTGAGGGCTCTGTGCTAGTGGCCAGCTCCTCTTTTGTTACAAAAAAGCAGGTTAGTGACAAGAGCACATTGGCACCCAGTAGAGACTTTCAGTTAACTCTAATCAGGTTTAAAAGGAAAATGTCTTCTTTAAAAAAAAATTTTTTTTAAAGATTTTATTTATTTTATTTTTAGACAGAGGGGATAGGAAGGAGAAAAAGATGGAGAAAAACATCAATGTGTGGTTGCCTCTCGCATGCCACTTACGGGGGACCTGGCCCGCAACCCAGGCATGTGCTCTGACCAGGAATCAAACTGGCAACCCTTTGGTTCACAGGCTGGTGCTCAGTTCACTGAGCCACACCAGCCAGGGTGGAAAATGTCTTCTTATGGGTCCTTTTATGCCAGGTCCTCCTAGTACTCAAATCATATGTGAATCCTACATCTGGGGAAACTTTTTGCTCACTTGATTACACCTATTGTCTCATTCAATCCTCTAACTCCAGGAAAATGGGGGAATTAGATGAGGAAACTAAGGCTCAGGGAGGTGAAGCCACTCGCCTACCGTCATGAAGCCAGCAAGCAGCCCAGACTAGAACCAAACCACTGGGCTTGGGGCTACCTTGCGAGTGGGTGAGGGGCCTCTGCTAACGATTTCTCTCCTTTCTGCCTTGGCCCCTCCCGGTCCTCCTCACCCTCCCCATGTCCCTCGCCCCCAGCTGGGTCACCTTTGAGCAGTTCAACTTCCGGGGGGAGATGTTCATCCCAGAGAAGGGCAAGTACCCACGCAGGGGCACCTGGTCCAGCAGCTACCACAGCGACCAGGTCATGTCCTTCCAACCCATCAGGATGGTGAGTGGCTCCTGAACAGGGCCTGGGGCATCACGGGGGCGGGCAAGTTTGAGGTCTGACAGGGAGCAAGAAATAGGAGTGAGCAAGGGAAAGAAGGAGGGAATGGTGAACAGGGAGGCATGGAGACTTCTGAGTTGTCCAAGGACAGGGAGTTCTTGGGTTCCTAGATTCATAAGGCTTCTCTGATGTGTCCAGCCCCAGCTAGGAGCCCAGGGCAAAAGAGAGACATGAAACCCATTTGTTTCCTTCCCTGCTGCTATCAAGAGTGGACTCAACCCTCCTTGGGTTGGAGTGAGGAACTTCAGCGCCTTCCTTGATTCTGTTTGTGGAATATGTCCAATTCCCGGCTGCCCAGGATCTGCATGTACCTCCAAAACATCCAGCTTGCAGCTTGAAACCTGTGCAGAGTCTGGGAAGAGGGATCTTGTAGAAAGGCACCTGGAACTTCTCAATGAGGAGACAATATACTGAATTAGCCCCTTTACGATATTTAATGAGGTTAAATAGTATGACTTAAAAAAGATTCAAAGCCAAGACAGGTGAAGTTATCCCTAAGCAATTCAGTTTCTCCAGAAGTGTGCTGATCATGACTCGTGAACAAACTACATTTTCACTCGCCAGCATAAGATCCTAATGGTAACCAACTCTTTCCTCCCTGGAAGGGAATTTCCTGAAGAATTTTCACGGATGGCACCCGTGAGGCAGTTATGAAGAGACAGGTCTTCGGGCACCACCAGGCTTATCCTAATGGATTACCCAACCAGGTCATTTCCAATGTTTTTCTCAGAATCTGAGCCTGAATGGTCAGTTTTTATAACAGACCTTTTATAAGAATTCATAGGTGCATCTTTCTATCATGGAAAGGTCTTTAAATTTCAACCTAGGTCGAGGGAGCTTTTTGGAAGAGCCGCCAGCCAGGGCATTTCCAGTAGTTCCTATAGCTTTGCTGTTCCGTTCGGTGGGCAGGGGCCATGTGTGGCTGTTGAACGCTTACGTTTGGGCTAGTCCGACTGGACACATGCTGCGTCACATACACACCAGACTTTGAAGACATACTAAAACAGCAAACTAAGAATGTAAACTGTCGGACTTATATTGTTATACTGGTTACAAATTGAAAGTATAATATTTTCAACATATTCCCTTAAATCAAATATATTATTAGAAAAAATTCCCAATGCCCAGACCCCTCCCCAGACCGATGAAATCCTAATCCCTGGGGCTGAGAGTCACCGGTCTGGTTAAACCAGTCCCTTATCCCGGCCTCCATCTTGCTGTGGGCCACCTTTATTTCGGCCCCGGGGCAGCTCCAGCTCCCTCCCCTCTGGGTCCCCTGTCTCCTTCCCAGCCTCCTCTTCGGGGAAGTTAGAAGGACTCTAACCCAGCCATCTTCCACTTACAGTCATGTCTCTGGACACTCCTGGTCGATCTGTTTGTGCTAGGCTCTGCGGTAGGCTCTGGGTGCAACTCTGCACAGGACAGGCATGGTCCCTGACTTCGTGGGAGGCAGCTAATGAAACCTTATCATGAAAATCAATCTGTTATGGCTAACCACTGCGGCGTGTGCTGCACAGAGACCACGCGATGAGTACACTAGGGGAGCGGAAGGGAGGAACTGGAGCTCTGATGTTGGGGGACAGGAGTGGTCAGGGGGTGGCCAGGGAACGCAGCTCCTGAAGGATGGGGACCAAGTCAGCCTTGTGAAGAGTGGTGGAGCCTTCCAGGGAACAGTGAGTGCAAAGTTTCTGACTCCAGGAGGACTGGGTGTGTACGAGGAATTAAACATTGGCCAGCATGGCTCTGGCTGGCTGGCTGGCTCTGTTGGTTGGAGCATCATCCCATACACCAAAAGGCTGCAGGTTCGATTCCGGGTCAGCACACGTACCTAGGTTGTGAGTTTGATCCCCAGTTGAGATGCATACAGGAGGCAACCAATTGATGTTTCTCTCTCACATCGATGTTTCTCTCACTTTCTCTCTCTCTCCCCACCCCCTTCCTTTCTCTCTAAAAGCAATGAAAAAATGTAATCAGGTGAGGATTAAAAAAAAAAATCAACCAGAGGGAATGGAAAGGAGAGGGGTACCAAATCAGGTGGGAGAAATAAAATGCTTTTCTGAAAGGTTCTGCCCCTCACTGGCTGTGTGACATCCATCAAGAACTTACCTCTCTGAGCTTCTGCATCCTGACTGTGGTAATAAAAATAATGAGTAAGAATTTTGAAGGTATGCTAGGCTTGCGCTCAGTGCTCTATATGGATCAGCTCATGTAATCCTCACAAGTGCAGAGGTGGAAGCGGACAGCTGTTCCCCCAGGTGAGGAGGACCCTGCCGGCTGGACAGCAGCGACCCTGGGAGAGTCCCACTGTGGCCTGAGCAGACTTTTCACCTCGAGGAGGCCCTGGGAGGTTCCTTCTCTTTGTCCTGTTCGTACTTCCCATGCTTGGCTCGGACTCTCCTTCCCTGGGACTCCCAGGAACACAGGATCTGCCTGTTGGAAAGAGCCAACTTCAAGGGCAACACCGTGGAGATCCAGGAGGATGACACCCCTAGTCTCTGGGTCTATGGCTTCTGTGACTGCGTGGGCAGTGTGACGGTCTCCAGCGGAATGTAAGTGTCCTCCTGCCAGATGCTCAGCCCTGCTTCAAGCACAGAGAGACTTGAAGCCTCTGCCCCTTAGACGACACAACATCAGACGCATAGGAAAGGCCACAGCCCCTCCCTAACTCTTGCAGTGCTGGCAGCTGGAATCTCACCAACAGAGCTTTATTCCACAGGGAGGTGGAGGCGTTCTTTGATGAATTACAAGGCAGTGTAAATAAACCTGACAACTGCATCTAAAAAGCTTGGAGATGGAGCGAATAGGGGCTTCTAAACCCATATTGGGATTGAAGAATAACTAAGTAAGAGGGGCAGAGTTGATGCAGATAGATGGGTTTGGATGGATCTAAGGAAAGAGGATATTCAGAGAATCCAGAGGAAATGAGCAGAATGGTTTCTGCGAGATGAGACTGTGTAATGAAAGAGACGTGACTCTGTCACTGATCTGCTGTGAAACTGGGAGAGCCCCGTGCCCCTCTCTGCACCTCAGTGTGGCCACCTATACGACAGGTACACCAAACTCCTTGATATAAAAAAGCTCTTTCTGCTCTGAACTCTCAGGATTTGAAATGACCTAAACAGAGCCCTGTGATCCCATGCCTGTGAGAATACAAGGGAGGGATAGATGCCCGAAGGACGTCATTTTATCCACCCCTCCCACACCCAAACCACCAGACACCCCTGGTCTCCTCCAGGCAAATGTAAGGACTCCTCCCCTCTATTGCAGACTCTTGCTGAGCTCCTGTAATACCGTCAGGGCTCTGGCCTTTTTCTTGTTTCTTTCTTCTTCCCTAAACTCATATCTCTGCATTCAAGCCATCAGAAATGGACAAGGAGCGCTTGGTGGCACACTAGGGAGGCAGAGATGAGTAAGGCTTTAGGGGACTTACTCAGTCTAGCAGGGAAATGCAAGTATATCTGTGAGATGATGTCTGACAATGCTAAGTAAGAGATGGTCCATACAGGAGGTCAGAGGAGGAAGGACAGTTTCCGGGAAGGTATGCTGGAGTGGAGGTCAGGTCAGAGGCTTATCTGAGGAGTCTAGGACTTAAACCAGAACTTGCAAGGTGCGCACCCCCACTTTGTAGCGGAGACCACAGGGAGACACGGAGAACTGGCTGGCCCAGGCAGAGGCCTGGATGGGGGGCAATGAGGCTGGCCATCTTTACCTAGCGCTTCTCGCTTCCCCCCCACCCCAGCTGGGTAGGCTATCAGTATCCTGGCTACCGTGGGTACCAGTACCTCCTGGAGCCTGGTGACTTTCGGCACTGGAACGAATGGGGAGCCTTCCAGCCCCAGATGCAGGCAGTGCGCTGCCTGAGGGACAAGCAGTGGCATCGTGAGGGCTTCTTCCCAGTCCCGGTCGCTAAGCCCCCCAAATGAGTCCGCACTCCACTCTTTCTCCCTCCTCTCACCCCTTCCGTAGGCGCAATGTCCCTGCCTTTCTCATGCAAATAAAAATTCCTAAAGCCAAAATGTCTTCTGGGTCTGTGATCAGATCAGATGTGTGCCTGGAGTTCCTTCATCGTTGCTGGCATGTGACCTCCTCAGTCTCAAAAATGATAATAAAAATAGGAAGCTCTGCAAAGTTCTCTACACATATGCTCTTGATATATCTTTCGAACTACTCTAGGAGGCTGGTATTATAATTATTCCCATTTAACAAGGAAGGAAATTGAGGTTCAGAGAGGGAAAGTGACTTGCCTAAGGTCACACAGCTAGCGCTTGGAGAATTGAGCCCAGACCGTCTGGCTCCAGGGCTGCACTCTCGAACAAATGCGTTTTCAAACTCTACTTCTTCATGCACCGTTCTCATGATTTTTTTCCACTCTCCCTACTTACCACCTGCTTTGTTATTTACTTAACGTTTTTATTTAAATGGACTTACTATATTACGCTTTCATGCATTGATTTGTAAATAAGGCTTTATAACACTACAGGAAGTGGAAAAGCAGCATCATATGCCATAGATAGAAAGCAATCTTATAAATAAATACAACTTAAAGAAGGCCAAGTAGAGAATACTCAGCAGACACCACTGCCTCAGGGAGGCTCCAAGCCTGCAACCTGCTCGCTCTTTGACAAAATGGGTGATTAACAGTGTCAGAGCAATGAAAGATGTGCTTGCACCAGACAGAGATTTTTCTCCCCGATTCTATCAAAGGAGATTGAAAGAGCATTGTTTTCTTGTATCAGATTCAGTGTTATTTAATCCTGGGTCCAAATTCCACCTGGAATCATCTCTCCTGCTGCAAATGGTACATGCCCTACTTTTTGGAAATCTGCACCAGGCAATATTGACTCCCATATCACCAGTTAGCATTGATTGATGTTATTAACCTTTAATCCATGCAGGAAGCCTGGGGGAGGTGTTGCCATGGTTATCTTCAGGGAGGAAGGGGGGATAGTTGAAGGAGGCCTTGAAGGATGGAGTAGGAGCTTGCTCAGTGGAGAAGGTGGAGGCAGGGGACATTCCAGGCAGAGCAAATAGTAGGGTCCCTGCTAATGATAAAAAAGGATGTTTTTTCCTTAAGACGTTTGACTGCCATCTGCCAGAAATGATCAGTATAAATCTGTCACGTCTGCAATGTGGATGTGGCACCCTGCGCTGCGCTCAACTTGAACTGTCCGTGGCCAGCCTGAAGCACCGCGGACAAAGTTAAAGGCACAGGGGTTGGGAATGGTATGGCGGGCCAGGCGAAGCTCACTGAGGTGGAAGCAGTAGCTTGGGGTGGTTGTGTAGGCAGAAGAGGGGGGTGGGAAGGGGGAGCCGAGTGGGGCAGGAGATGAAGCTGGAAAACAAGGTGAGGCCTCACGACACTCACCCTGTGGTTCTGCTGAGCTTCCAAATTGAGGCACTGCCTGACCTAGAAGGCCTTTCTGTCTGGAGCAGGCAGGCTCCCTCTTCCTGTCACCCTAGCTCCCCCACCTCCACCCTCCAATTTGCCCAGCAGCTTGTGCTAGAAGGAAGGTTGTCCTGCCTTGGCCCTGAAGAGGGGATTCCTGGGCAGGAACCAGGAGGGGCCTGGATCAACCCTGTTCTACTGTTAGAAGCTGCAGTGTTGGGCAAATCCCCCCCCATTCCCTGGGCTGTATTCGTCTCGTCTATGCGATGGCAGCTCAAATGACCCCCCAGCCCCGAGATTCTGAGGCTGGTTCCAAAATTCCACGATTCTTCAAGATTCTGAAATTTATCTCCAAGTGTCCACGGGACTTTGATTTCAAAGTCAAGCTACATAGATTCCCACCCTCAGTTCCTAAGGTGTGTGATTGCAGCTCTAAAATTCTACTGTAATGGAGCCAAGACTATAGCATGAGCCACAGGAACCAACGGCCACGTTTCCTCAACGCTAAGACCTCACTGATGGCAAGACGCGCCATGATTTTTATGGCCCAAGAAAGACAAATACCATCCATTCACAGCAAACACAATTGCTTTCTGGTCACTCAGAATGCGTATTCCATACATATTGAAAAACTATTTTGGACTTACTTAGACATAAAAGGTTTTTTTTTTTCAGTGTATTCATCTTGTGAGTCCTATAAACAGAAAGCATAATAGAAATGTATTGGCTAACTTTGTCCTAAAACGTCTTTACATTCTTTCATAGTCTTAATCTGGATGGCTTTCATCTCAAAGTTGTCAATATCGTTATTTTCTCAAGGGTGTTATATGAAAAATATGTGCATATTAGCATTGCTGAAACATGATATGTACATTTGGCAACACAAACAAAAACTGGGAGAAAGTAACAAAGTATTACATCATTTTACTTTTGTTAACAAACGTAGGAATAAACAAAACATGTAATAAAAAACAGAGAAGTTATTAAAATTACAAGAGAAAAATAAATAACAAAGATAAAAAGAACCATGTAAAAGAAAATAGCACGGAAAAAGGCCAGGAGGGAGTGAGGCAGAAGAGCTCTACATGAACCTGTTGCTCCTTCTGTGGGTCCCAGTTCCCACACACCTCTTGAAATGTGAGGCTCTTACCACCCAGGGCAGAATTTCAGAGCTTAGAGATGTCACATTGTTTGCCTCAAAGCTGAAACTTGGAGTTGGGTACGATGCTGACGGTGATCAGTGGAGCTGAACTTGACCCAGTAGCCATCCTGCTCACATCTGTCTTGAGGCTCCTCAGCCCTGGCTTCAACTCTGCATTATTTGCCCTAAGCACAGGCTTCCGAATGCAACGCCGGGCAAGCTGGATGTCACTGTGTTTCATTGCTAGATCCCAGCTCGGGAGTCTGAGTCGCAGGCCTCTGGAAAGACAAAGCACCTTGGTTACGGGACATCATCTGCTAGCCGCAGCAACAGGGGGCAGCCCACAATCTTCTGGCCATTAAGCCAGGGACACAAAGCCAGCAGTGTGTGCTCAAGGAGCAGGGTGTATGTGTGGGGGAGGACAGCCCAGAAGCACGATCTCTTTTGTGCCAGAGCCAGATGCTAATGGACACACGGGCAACTGAGTTTTGGGGAAAGGGCATGGTGCGAGGGTGCCCTGAGGAGGTTCTAGAGAGGTCAGCATCTTTTATAGCCGTGTTGCCATGACAGCCAGTCACCCGGATCAGGGAGCTTTGTGAAACCTGGGTACCCAGCTTGGCATGGTAGCCCTATATCCTTCCCGCAGGGGGACAGGACCTGCCCCTCTACCTTGGCTTCCTGCCCAATGCTGGACACCTGCTTCCATCACTGTACTAAGTTTGTATCTCCGCTCTGACATTCACTAGCTGTTGCTCTAGGTCAAGTCAAATTACCTGATGGAAACTCTGTCGTCTCTAAAATGGGAGTAATGATAATAAAACTTCAACAGGTAGTAGGAAGGGGTAAATGATCAGCTTGAATATAATGTTTACAAGGTGCTTAGAGCATGGCAGACACCTGGATCATCATCGATATCATCTTCTCAGATGTCAGAGCTGGAAGGAGCTTTAGAATCAACGTGTACCTTGTCCTGCATTTATTCTTCTTGCTTTATTTTTTTTTAATTTTCATGTGATCATTTCTTTTTTTAAGATTTTATTTATTTATCTTTAGAGAGAGGGGAAGGGTAGGGGGAAGAGAGGGAGAGAAACATCAATTGGCTGTATCTCTCAAGCATCCCAACGGAGTGACCAGTGACCGGCCTGCAACCCAGGCATGCACCCTGACTGGGAATGGAATCAACAACCCTTCCCTTTGCAGGACAAAGCTCAACCAACTGAGCCATGCTGGCTGCTTTAAACAAATGTTGACTGAGGACCTCCCAAGTGTCAGGTTTGTCTAGATCCTGGGGACACAGGTTGCAGAAAAAGAGAGTAGAGGTCCTGCCCAGCTGTTTACAGAGTAGGGGAGCAGACAGGAATGAACTCTTTCATCTGCCTTCAAAGTCACACCAAATTCCAGTATCTGTCCCATCAGGATGCCCTGGGGACACTGTTAGGCTTCCTCAAAGAGTTAAGAGCCAGCTTGAGACCTGAGTGGGTTTGCTGAGTTGGGGTGGAGAAAGGATCAGGCCCAACCTAAAAACCAGGAGACTTTTCTGATCCCCTTCCTTAGCCCTGCAAAAGATTTGCCAATTCTGTCTTCCAAACATCGCTGGAACTGGATGTTCCTTTCCCTCCATGGCCCCAGCCTCTCTCTGGGTTAGCCAGCCTTCCCTTGACTATTTCAACAGCCTCGAAAGCAGTCTTCCCGCCTGTCCTCCACCATGCAGCGGCGAAAAGGATCTTTGTAGGAAGCAAAGCAAACCATGTTCCTCCCCTGTTGAACACCTTCCATGTCTGCCCGTCGCTGCAAGATGAAGCCCCGACTCCTCCCCACAGCCCAGGATGCCCTGCAGCATCCAACCCCTGCAGGCCACACTGACATCCTCTCAGCCCTCCTCCTATATCCTGACTACCTTCTACTTTATGCAAGGTCCAGCAGCAATGGGCCTTCCTGCTGAAACTTTGCACCTCTGGGTGCCTGTCACTGGTGTTCTGTTTCAAAACCCCCACTTACGTTTCAGGCCCCAGTGTAAGGCATGGTGTAAACACCCCTGGCCTTCCCTTCCTGGACCAGGTTAATCCCCTCTGTTCCCAGCTCCCCAGTGATTGTTGGAGGGTCCAGCTTCCCCTTCTTGGACACAGGGCCCTAGTCCTCTTGTTACCTGCTGACTCCCAGTGCCCAGCCCAGGGTGCCCAGAGCGCCTTACTCAGAAGTCTTCCTTTGATCTCTATTTCTCCACCCACAAAGGGACACAATAAAATACCCAGCAGGGCTACAATGCAGCTAGTCATACAAAATCTCTAATATGTGCACAATTAACACTAGATAATATTGTTCTGTTGATTCCAGACCATTAACAGCCAGCTCCAGGAAGGCAGATTTCATTTTGTCAGTTCCAGCACTTTCTGCAT